TGGCTCGCGCCTCTAATTGCTACCTCCGGGGATAGGCGGCATGTCTTTGGGACCTCCTGCTACGCCGCCAGATTGGCCGACCCTTATAACGCTTATAAGCGCAATAAGAATCGGCCATGAGTGCGCGGCGGTTGCGTGGCAGCCCTTTGTTGAGTACCGATTTGGCGCAAATTCAACTCTATCCCAGCTCTTCCGCACTTCATTCTTGCGCCTTTGACTCGCTTTCTTTCTTCAGGTAGTGTTAGAGTTCTCGTCGTCAGCAAGTGTGCTGAAAAGATGAGAACGGAACAAAATGGTATCTGACGGCGGTAGAGCAAGGCAACCGCCGTGCACCCTCGATCGGCCGGTTCTTATTGAGCTTAGCGTTATAAGAGTCGGCTAATCTTTATGAAGTAGAGATACCCAAGCACCAAGCGCGCCCCAATAGCCGGCTGGCAATAGTTATCGTTCATGAAGTCCGCCATCCATGTTTTTGGCTTTAATTTGAACCGCCTGAGCAAAGATGAGTCTAATGCAAACAATAAATATTACTGTATTAGACTCTTACTCGTCTCATAATTCTAGCCATTGTAATTGTATCTTATCCAAAATCTTTGCTTTGAACTGGGATTTTTGAACAAGTAGACTTAAGAGAAGTCTTTTGTGAAAGCTTTAAGTTGTAGGTATGTGCTACCACTCCGTGCATGCTCCGTGGCGCAGAAACAATAACTGAAACGATAGAAAAGAGTTTAGGCTCGTTTTGATTTTTTTCATTTCAGTCTTTGTCTATTTTATCATGTTTATTCTGTGTTTTAGGCATACATGTAGGCGACACTACAAAAGACGGTCTTTTCACGCTGACCGAGGTTGAGTGTTTGGGAGCTTGCGCCAATGCCCCCATGATGCAGGTAGGTCACTTCCATTCTGTTTCATGCATGATAAATTTATTGCCACAGATCAACGATGACTTCTACGAAGACCTTACTCCGAAGGATGTCGACGATATATTGAGTGATCTGAAAGCTGGTCGCCGTCCTCATCCTGGACCACGATCTGGGCGTCTTGCAGCTGAGCCAATGGGGAAATTGACATCGCTAACTGTATGTTTTAGTCAACATTTTCTCTATGGATTATATAATAATACTCTATTGTTCTTCCTTGACTGCTTGTGTATTCGCATTGTCTGTTTTCATTGTGTTCATCAAGAACATTTAATTTACATTGCTTACACACTTTTTACTTTAAAGAAAATCATAAAGTGCGCGTTTCTCAAACAAGTAGTATATTTAGCATTGATTACTGGTTACTATCCAAAACATTCATTACATGGTTTTTCAGGAGGAACCCAAAGGACCGGGATTTGGACTTCAAGCTGCTTTGAAGTAGAATATTATATGTAATTTATGTAGAAAATAGAATTTGAATATGAACTAGAATGAATAGTGCAAATGCATTGTTTTTTTCTTGTTATGGATGTGAGCCTTTAATTCGTGATTTATTTACCAGCTTAACCGAGATCCTTATGAGTTAAACACGTTATATATTTTAGATGAAGTTTGCTTTTCTTTTTTCTCAAGTCCATACAGAGTTCCGAACAGCCGAACTGCAAGGGATATGTGATGCTCTAAGATTGAACTTTGATTATTCTCAAGTGAATAGTGAGGTACTTTATCTTCATAGTTTCCGAAATATAATGCATTGCTCTGTTCTTTCAAACTTTTTATTTGCGAGCGATCAAATGAGCTTTGTGTAGCTTTATTATCGTTCAATCAATGGAAAACATGTTTCAAATTAACAATGTGAAGGTTTACTTAATCACAATGTTGAATTTATATCATTTGTCGCCGCTTCCCATGATTCGTGCTCAATTTTGAGACGCGTTTTTGAGCCATACTTTCAGCGATGTTGTCGTCTTTGCTAG